CAGGTTTGGTATGGATGTATATTTGAGTATCATCAGCATAGAAATGATAGTTGTGGCCATGTGATCTTAAAACCTGACCAAGTGGAAACATGTTAATGCTGAAAAGTAGGGGACCCAGTATCAAACCCTGAGGAACACCAGGCTTAACTAACCGTTTTCAGACCTATACCCATTAAGAGAGACAAAGTGACAGGGATAAGTGAGGTAAGACTTGAACCATCAGGAACTCCAAACATTGTCTCAAGATGAGAAAGTAAGATGTCATGGTTAACAGTGTTGAAAGCAGCACTGAGATCAAGAAGAACGAAGATAGAGAGAAAACCAGAATCAAAAGCTATTAAAAGATCATTAGTAACTGACCGGGGCAGTTTCTGTGCTGTGAAGTTTACTGAAGCCAGATTGGAGGGGTTTGAAAAGGTTATTTAAAATAAGGTGGTTATGCAATTGCATGTTCTAGAATTTTTGCATGAAAGGGTAGGTTGGAGATGAGGCGAAAATTGTTTGGACTGTCTAGAGCTATGTTAGGCTTTTTTGGCATGGGGGAATGGCAGCAGTTTTGAGGACCATTGGTACAAAACCAGTGCTCAAGGATTAATGTATTATATCGAGCACAATGGGGCAGAGAGAAGTGAAACAGGACTGAAATAAAGTGGTGGAAATGGTATCTAATATAGAGATGGTGGATTTCATGTGTGAAACTAGTTTACTGAGGGATGCAGAGTCAAGAAGAGAGAAGTTGGAGAGAAGGGAATTAGAAAAGTCTGAAAAGCAGGGAGGAATGATGTGGTGTGGGAATGATGTGAGTTATGGAGAGAATGTGATGCTGGATGTTGCTGAACTTGGAGCTAAAGAAATAAAAAAATAGGTAGTTCAAATATTCCAAAAGGGACAAATCCCAAGATTTTCAATGTAGAATTCCAGAGAAAATAAAGAGGTAATTCTTATTAAATTGACAATGTTATTTAAATATAAAGCACATTTTACAAGATAACTTCATGTGAACCCATTCTCAGCCATACAGCCTGGACATGTCATTACTCACTTAGTATCTGAATATAAATTAAGATCAGGCATTTCAACCTGAAGTTTCATCATGTGCAAAAGCCTTATCAACAATAATATTGATTTCCTGCAAGTAGCAAGTTCTATTAAGAGATTCCCTGCTTGTGTAATCAAGTAAAACAAACAAAATCTGCTAATATGTCTTTTTTTGACCATGAAAAATCAAAGACCACACTTCCATAATCAAAATTTACAGCTTTATAAAGCCAGAAAATGAACTATCTATTTGATGATGTTACATCATAAAAAATATATCTTTGTGCCAATTTTATTTCTGAGCAGTACACATCAGTCTGATGTAGCAGACATTGCACATGCTAATCAATAAACAGCTCCAGCTACTTTATTAAAGCAGCACAGCCTGTTTAAGTTTTAAAATGTTCTGAACCTAAGAAACAGCTAGATGTATTGCTCTTTGGATATTTGCAGTAAGCTGTATGCTCCTCCTATTCAAATAGGAGACTTTTTTTTCTTCACTGGGAGCTAACTGAGAGCGAGAGCAAGCAACCAACTTATATAAGCTAACTCCACACTCCACACGAGGATGCGACGGACAGAAGTGGATTAAAAATTCTCTCTCATATCAACGCATCAATGTTCAGTGATAATCCAAGCATTTCATTGAGTGGGAATTTAGAGACTTCAGCAGTACTGAATCAAAGGCAATACATTCATACAAGGGTGCAACTTGAGAAATTGAATGGTGTCAACTGCAAGTAAGAAAAAATATGAAGTAAAGGAAACTGCATTTCTTAAGTGTGGGAGAGGAAAACGACTGGGAGATTTTAGAGGTGATTTAGGTGGTGGTTAAAATCTGTCGACTTTCTACCATGCCAGGAATCACTATAAGGGAACATGTGGATGTTTTATACATTTCCATCGAGATGGCGATTGCATTGGCATCAGTGCTGGGTAATGTTTTAGTGGTCATTGTGGTGAGAATAAACCGGGCTCTGAGGGACACAACGTTTTGCTTCATTGTGTCGCTAGCATTGGCTGATATTGCTGTAGGTGCCCTGGTAATCCCTTTGGCCATCATTATAAGCCTGGGGATGAAAACGCAGTTCTACACCTGCTTGTTTTTAGCCTGCTTGTTGCTTATCATCACCCAGAGCTCTATTCTTTCTCTCCTGGCTATAGCCTTTGACAGATATTTGAGAGTTAAAATTCCAACAAGGTAAGATGATCTCAACAACTAAATGTCTGTGCAGCTGACCTCACTATTTATTTTCCATGGTTATAAATATTTAGTTATTCACTTTATTTGTCAACTGGTTTTCTTTGGCAAGAGATATATTAATTCTATAAAGATGTTTCATTAAAAGTGTTTTATTCTGGTTAGCATTTTGTGCAACATATGATGTTCTGGAGAAACATTTGATTAATAGTGTTCCTCTTCTTTACCTAGCAAGGAAAAAGACAGATGATTACTCTTCAACTTATGATTATGTAAAATTAACAGAAAAATCTTAGAAAATATATGAACAAACAAGAAATTCCAGTTATTTTACAACTAAATGATGATGATGATAATAATAAGAATAATATAATAAAGTAGGTTAAAATATGTAGACACGTAGTTCTGTAAATACTACTGGTATGGTATAATTACTAAGCCCATCACTTCCATTTGTCTTGCAGCTAGCAAACCACATAGTTCTTCCTAGTTTAAAGTAAATCAATGCACTTGACAGCAAAAGCTCTTAAGAAAATTAAAATGCTCCTGTCTCCTTTCAGAAGTCACTTAGAAAAAGTGGTTTATGTTGCATTTTTGGCACAACCATCTTCATGCCTGTTATATTCTTTGTGTTAGCTAATTGAAAGACATTGGGACAGTAAAAGCCTATTCATTTCAAGAAATGTAAAACCAAACTTTTTCACAAAATCTCAAATATATGTATAGTACATTACATTGTAAATCTGTATTGGATTAAGTGGTAATGGAAAATTGATTTATGAAGTTTAATACAATTCTGTAATTGCTTTAGTGAATCTGCTTTTGACTCACACTTCCTGACATGGCAAACACTATTTTTGATGTTAAAGATGAAAATCTGTTAATGCTTTTAGAAATGTCTTCATAAAATCAGAAGTCAAACTTAAATGTTTTCATATATTGTTTCTTTTAAAAATTGAATATTATCAAAAATATGCTTTAAACATTTAAAATATGTATTTGTTGTTTTCAGAGGATCTCTGTGAATTTACCTCCATAACATATTTAACATAATTAGTCAGTTCCAAACCATATACTTCTATTCCCGAGAACACATCTCCTATTTTCAGTCCTCAGTACATCTACACTAAAATTCATAGGTATATCTATACAGATCAGTATAAAGATTGCTGTTCTTCCTAAGTTAAATCAGTGAACTACAGTGAAAATAAATACTGAAATGGTATTATTTACCAAATGTGCAGATCATTGATGATGTACATTATAACATAGCATCTGGAATGTAGTTTATGTTTGAAATTCGCTGGCTTCTCATAATTCTAACGTTTTAGCACAATCTACAATGCTTAATCACTTACAATTTATTACAGATTGAATCTGTAATAAAGTAATACGATTAAAGACCAGTGTTTCCCAGTCCTGGCCCTGGAGTACCCTTGTGTCTTCTGGTTTTCATACCAACTGAACTATGATAATTTGGCTCAATAGGACCTAAAACGTAATGGTTGGATTGTAGTTTTAAAACCTTTTCAGTACCTAAATAGTAGAATCAGTTTAGAAATTAGCATGAAACTTGTGTGAGATGTCCATATTTAATTGTGTGAGCTAAAACATAAACAACATTATTAAAGCAGAAGGCACAACACTGACTCACTGAGGGAGGGTCTGATACAATGTAATTTCCACCTCTGTATATTCATCCATTGGTCTCCTTTTAAGAGGTTTTTAGTCAGAAATAAAGGGACACATTCTTAATAAGCAAATTAAGAATTAACTGCTTAAAGCACTGCATATAGAGTTTATTAAATATAACGCACATGAATTCAAGCATTTTTTAAACCAAGGTCTTAGTGCAGAAGAATTTCTAAAGCAGCAAGCATATAGAGTAAGTTCAAAATAGCACTGGTGATGAAGGGTCATATGGGAACAAAAATCACCAGACACAGGGTTATTCAAGGACTAAGACTAAGACCCACTGACCTGTGTTTATTGTTTCAATTGGTTGAATTTTATCAACACAGCACTAAGAATGTTTATTATAAGACTATTTGACTGTGTCATTCTGATGTTCACTTGCATATCATCAACTGATAAAATTTAAAAGCTGTCAACTAATTTGAAAGACATCCTTTTTTGCATAAGGCATATACAGTATAATTATGGAAGTGCATTGCTACCATCAAAGAAAAAATATTTATCTTGTAATTATGAGTACACTCTCATGTACTTTATTTGATTATCATGAGGTAGCACAATCATCATACAGTAATTATCTAGAATTATCATTAGTTAACATTCAGTTTTAAACAGAGGAATTATTAAAATTATTTGCACGGCACACTTGTTTTTGTATAAGGATACATGTGAGTGTCCTTTTGGTTATGATTATGTTTACATTAAGTACAAATTGTAACATTTCATTATTTTACAGTTTGGCAGCTCTGTCACAAACACTAAACCAGAGTTTCACTTGCACAATGCAATAGGTTGTTCATACACTAAAAATGATCATTGCTATTTCATAACTACAAGATAATATTCTCGTAATTACAGGATAACACTTGATTTTATTTTCTTGTTGGCAGAATAATGCTTCCATACAAAAACAAAAGTAATTTGGGAAACTTTGTCCCGGAAGCACAGAATAAAACAAAAATCAATCAATTGGGTCATTTTCTGGTGGTGATAAGCTTCATTGATTAAGTACTCAGTTGCGATGAAAACTACAAAACATAGGTGTACTGTACTTCAGGACCATAACTCGGACAATCTGTCCTGGTTATTATTTCAATACTATTTTAATCAAGTGATTGCTATTCAATATATACTGTTAAAACGAAATTGATCACTTCTGCAGCTATCAACAGAAGAACCTTGCAATAATCTGGGCTGTGATGAAGCTTTACATTTACTTGTATACAGTATAATGTATTCTTACACCATAACATTTATCACTGTAATTATACCATATGCATAACAGCATAACTGCAGAAATGTACAGTGATTTTGTATTAATTTTATCCATATACTGTATAAATAGAAGTTTAAATCTAAAATAAAACATAATTCTTTAAATTAAATATTGAATTAAACTTATATAAGTATAACTACCAGAATCAATATTCCTCTGTGTTCTTCTAATATTTGTAAAATGTGATGTCACCCTGCTATATACAGTACAAAATCACACACACAGTACATAATCAGCTTCAGAGGCTCACAGAAATGGAGTTCCGAAGAAGAGTACTCAGATACTAACAGGAACTGAATTCTTGGTGTTGAACAGAAAAGATTAAGAAGGAGCTTAATATAAGTATTCAAAATCCTCAAAGGCATTCACAAAGCTAACTCGGGAAACATATTGAAATGAACAGTAAAACAAGTGGAAACAAGAGGATACAAGTGAAAACTGTAGAATTGCATTTAAAACCAAAAACAGGGGATATTTCATTACTCAAATGCTGCTGGGAATATGAAACAGCCTTTTTACTTTTATGTTGTTAAAGCTAATACAGCACTTATTTAAAGAAAGAACCCTGCCAATTCAGTACTAAATACCAAACTTGCTATATGAGCTAAATAGCCTTGTCTTGTTTGTAATCTTTCTTCTGTTCTTATATTTTTATGTTATTGACCTGGTATCTGTGTCATGAATTATACAGGTTGCAAATAAGATGAGTCCATTCTGCTTCTTTAGTAGATCAATAGCTAAGCAATCCTAAACAAAATAATTAAAAATTAATTTACCTCTCATAACGTTAGAATTATTTTGCCGTATTTCTGCTATGATACTTTCTAAGTATCTTTGTATTTCCCTTTATTTTTTCCTCTGTTTTTCTACCAACTGCATATTTAACTATTTTTTTAAATATATCAGAACATACTTTATTGCTATAGAAAGAGCTACAGGCCAAAAAGAGATCATTCCAGTACTCTTTTATGCCCTTTAACATGAAGAGCTGTTTTCTGTTTGTTACCCAGCTGCTGATTCATGTGCATACATTACCTTGGAATCCTGTGGTATTTAATTTAAGAATCTACTTGCTATCAAAAGCTTCTTTGAAGTTTATATATATTATGTTTTATGCTTTACTTTTACAGTACATCCTGTCCTTGATTTATGAATATTTCTAGCAAGTTGGTTTAATCTGAGTATTAAAGTATGATAGTGTGTGACATTGCAATGAGAAATACTAAATTTCATTTGCTACATGTTATATTAAATTAGAAACAGATCCAAAATGCATCCCTCTGCACACCACGTCTTTCTACTGCCCAATTAGAGGTTGAGCCCATTAAGATGATTCACAGGTCCCTGCTTATTAATTTGCTCTTTATTCATATAATGTATTACCTTAGATTCTGATGGCTTTCAATTTCAAAATCAACCTTTTATGAGGGTCCTTATTAAATGCTTTCCAAGAAAAATATATCTTGGTTGATAAACTCTAGCAAGTTGATGAAACAGGATCTTCACTTTCTAAATCCATATGTACTGCCTCTTGAAATGCTAGTGTTTGCTAAATATTCTAGTTTATCTCTAGTTTATTCTTTACGCATTTAAATTTAGGGTAACTAATTGCAATTACATACAAGTAGTAAGAATGCATTAATAAATAATGTAATGTAATATATTACATTATGAACAGAAAGTGAGTGGAACTGAACTTGGAAAAATATATTATAATAAAATATTTAAGTGATTTTAGGAACTCCAAGATCACATCCAGACAATATGGTGAAGTTATAGAAAGGGTGAAGCAATCTTATGATGCATTGTAAAATGTACAGAATTCAAACCAAAAGAAGTTAAAGTAATTGTTAAGACATCATTTAGAATATTCTGTATTATTTTGTTCATTATATTATTTTGGTGCTCTTTGAATTCAATCCAAAGAATGAATAAGAGTTAAAATTCCTGCCCTTGCAGCTATGCCTGACACTGATAGTATTTAGTTCCTTAAGGATACTAACAAAATCAAATAACATACGTTCTTAAAGATAAACAGTGAAACACAAACCTATTAATTGTATTGTTGAAAATGATATCTAGGCTCCCTTCAATAAATGGCTAGCATTTAATTATATATGGGCAACATGGCCTCTTAATTCTCATCTTTTTTGTTCTAACTTTTAGTTCAGTATTTAACTTTGACTTGAAAATCCTTTTTGACTGCTTCTAATTTTAATTGTCTTTTTACTTTGTTCCCCAGGTACAGTATAATAGTCACTCAGCAGAGGGCCTGGGTAGCTGTCTGCATGTGCTGGCTTATGTCTACATTAACTGGTCTAGTGCCAATGTTTGGATGGCATAACAGGGACAAGCTACAGGAGTCTGATAGAAACTCAACATCAGAGAACATTGTGTGCCAGTTCACTGCTGTCATGAGAATGGATTACATGGTATACTTCAACTTCTTTGGGTGGGTTGTACTACCTTTGACCATTATGATTGGACTGTATGCTGAAATCTTCTACGTGATTCGAAAACAGCTGAACAAGCGAGCCGAAGCCACTAGCAACTCCAGCAAATACTATGACAAGGAGCTGAAGCTGGCAAAATCCTTAGCCCTCGTGGTCTTCCTATTTGCCATGTGTTGGCTGCCCCTCCATATAATGAACTGTGTTAGTTACTTCTGTCCAAAATGTTACGTGCCCAAGGAGGCCATGTACATTGGTATATTCATGTCGCATGTAAATTCTGCTGTTAACCCACTGGTGTATGCTTTCCGGATCAACCGTTTTCGAGCCACTCTCATTCAGATCTGGAGAGGCTGGATTTTGTGCAAAGGCAGTGAGCAAAGTCCTTGCAATGCTAGCCCCCCAGCTTGTACTGAAAAGTAAAAAAAAACAGTAGCGTTTTATTATACATGCATATAGGAACTGTTTTTAACACACAAAGACATATGTTTCTAAAAGTCAACATACAATTTCAGGCAAAGTTCAGCTAGAATTTTCAAATCTATTCAATCCAGATTGGTATTGGGAAAAATGTGTGTGGCCCATACTCAGACAATGAGAAGGATGAAACTATGAACTATGGTAAAACAGGTGTATTAATAAATCCAAAAATATTTTTTTATTATTATGTATACTGTAGCTATTTTCATCCCAGTGATCATAAGCACTTTACAGCTAGGAGGAGAGTCATTTACCAGCGACCCCTGACACCATATAATCGGGGGGATTGATGAGCTGATCAATCAGATGAACTATGCAGGAAAATGGGAGAGCATTTAGGCAGGCCAAGCATGTGTTCAAATTTGTTTTCAGCTGTTAAAAGGTGGTACCACCTGGGATCAGGATTGGGAGCACTGCATTAGAGGTCTTTATTTCAGGGCTGACCAAGCTTAGCTTCCTATATCTGGAGATGTAAGATTTTGAGGTAATGTTACAGCTGGAAATGATTCAATTTACTTTTTGTGCCTCATACATAGCTCTGTGCCAGGAAGTCTTACTCATACATACATTTCCAGATTTAAAGCTTTGAGCATGCCTGTACAAATAGTTTTAGAAAATTTGACTGCAAAGAGCAATATTCTACAGATGAGAATGTTAACATACATACTGTATGTACAGTACCTTGCAGAAGTATTAACCCTCTTCCAATGATGTCTCATTTTGTTGAATTACAAATGATGTATATACATTTTAATGTGAATATTATTTTTAAAATTTCAATGTTTAAACCAAACACTTTTATTAGAGAAAAAAGTTAAATTATAGCAAAAACAGCAAAGAAAAAATAAAAACTAAAATGTGCTGAATACATACAGTGTCTATAAAAAGTGAACTCTCCCTTTTATAATTGTCACCTCTGTTGCCTGGTAGCCTGGAATTAAAATGCATTAAAATTATTATTATCATTTACCTACACGCTCTACCCCAATAACTTCCAAGTGAAAAATATTTGAGATATATTTTAAAAAAAAACTAAAATTAACAATGAAATAGCTTGGCTGGATAAGTCTTTCCCTGTAAAACTAATTCTAAATTAGCTTAGGTATAGCCAATCACCTTCAAAATCACACACCACATTAACAGGTCACCACCTGTTTTAAATAGTAGTGATTCATATGATTTTGGGATACATTCCACAGTTCCTACCTTATCGTTCTGTTATTATTTTATTTCAAAGCAAAGACACAACCATTAGTACAAAATAACTTTTAAAAGAAACCTGGGACAAAATTATAGAAAGACACAGATCTGGGAATGTGACACAGTAACATGTACATGAGTGATTAAATTACTCACATTCATCTGGGAATCTCAGAACACACTCAGGTCATTTATCAATTCATTCCTTGTTTTTCCCATCAATCATCCAATCAAATCCCTGATTAAACACCCCTTTATAATTCACGAGCTGCTGCTGGGACAGTGCAATGACATTGAGATACTTCTGAGTAGTACAGTACAAGTCCAGGACCATCCTTAGAAACACATCAGCCTAAAACCAGAAACACAAATCCTGACCAGGAACCAGACTACCTGAACCCGGACTTCTCCCAGGAGCACCAAAGCGACTCCAGCATTGGAATCTCCTTTTCCTATTCCCCTGTCTGCAGGTAGCAGATACAGTACCTTCTACAGAGCCTGAACCCCTTCTGCCATTTCTCCAGCTGATCTCTGCTCTCACTCAGTCAATTAAAAAAAAAAAAAACTTTTGCAAAACATGTCTGGGCTGGGCAGGTATGATTAAAAACATATCTCACAATCCATTAAAAACTCTAACCTACAGAATGATGCTTTGTACCTAGAACATTATTTTGACACTACTTCCTGACTGCATAAAAAGACTTCATTATGTGTTTCAATAGTTTCATAAACTGTGGAACCATTTAGCCACTTGATATAGTTGGACCTCACCACTACAGTGCAGCCACATCCAGAGTGAGCTCTTTTTGCCATATTATCCTTCATTTGTACTGGAAGCTCCAATCATTGTTAAGGATTGCCATACACAAAATCTACAACAAACAAGATTGCATTAAGGCAATTAAATGGTTATTTTATTATTTTTTAATAATAAATTAATCTTCAGTTATTTTGTTTTTTTAATAGAATTGGTGTTTAAAACCAATCTTTTGTGCTTCTGCTTACTTCATCTATGTTTTTTTTTCTTCATTTTGGTCTGATCTTTTTCACAAGCAAGGTTACTCCCCAACAAACACTGCCCATATTGTGTTCATGTAAATTCCTTCTCAGTCACTTGCTGGCTTTAGTATTTAAGAATTTTCCTCTTAAAATTTCCCTGTTTGAGTTCCTGTGAATATACCTTGTTCTCTGATTCAGTCTTTCCCAATTTCATCTTACTCTTGAGTCACTTTAAGTAAACAGAACTTTCAAGTCTTCATTTACTACTGCACTTTATTATAGATTTTTAGATGAAAACTTCAAATGAAGAAAAAAAATAATCTTATTAAACCAGAATGAGTAAAAATCCCTGATCTATTTATTGTTGTTCTGTACTTATCAACATAAAGTACTGTAAATGACTATTTGAGATATCCTGTTTATGTACTTTTTATAAACTCTGTAAATTATACTTAATTGGGTGCTTTTATTTACTTTATATAGTTACAAAGGGGGGGTTACAAAACTGGTGAAAATCAGGAATTGGCCAAGAGGTTTAGTCAATAAGTAAAATAATTATTCATAACGCCCAACTTGTAAGTGATTCATTGCAATATACCCTAGAAGTTGTTAAAATCAGAGGCACATTAATTCTTTGTTCTCTGGCACAGCTTTTTTGAGAGGAGTAACAATCCAGGCAGACTTGGTTAAACAAATATTTATTACAATGACAAGACTCAAACTACACTACACACAACATACAACACACAAGTTACTTTATGTACTTTACTTTATGTACAGAGGCCCAACATTCTGGTCACCCAGAAAACCCCAGACCGCTACTAAGCATTAAACTCTTTATACAGTATGCCTATAGAGGCCACACAAGAGATTAGCTGCCTTCTAACTAAATACAATGCAACCTACAGTTAAGAAAAGATAAGATTACTTTGTTGGCCATATACAATTTATTGTACTAGGAATTTGTCTTTTCACATACCCCAACTTGCTCTCCATGAGACACACAGACAGGGAAAGAAGCTTGAGGTCAGAGTGCAGGGTCAGGTTTATACAGCACCCCTATGGGGTTTTTGCCTGGCACAAGTTTCAAGTCCCTACCCCTCCAGACTTCTCTCTCTTCTTCCTGCTTCTCCTCTTCTTGTTTCCTCTTCTTTTTTCTTCCTCCCTTCTCCTCATGTGATCTTATATTGTGTGTCTGTGCTGCTCCTTGCCAATCATTAATCCACAACTTACCTAGGTACTGTATACTAAGGTAAACTTTACAATTGTTCCTGCTCAAGGGATCCCCCACACCTCAGCAAAAGTGAAGTGTTTACTCTTTCTAATCTGATCTAATCTCCAACTTTAGTCTTGTGATTAGTATGCATTTATTGTCCCAAACTTACATTGAAAGTCACAATTCAGACAGAAAACAGTAAGGCTTCAAATGGCTTACATCTCATTTACATTAGATATTGTGACAGTGGTGCACACCTCCAACTGCACTCCCTATTCCGTGACACGTGGGAATGTGCAGCCACCCCACCTGACGCTACCTGATGGAGTCTGTTCAATAAGATTGAAGCCAGGAAAATCAACTAACCTGCTTCTTCTGTTGATCCCATATGTGGTTTTTAGATTGTTCTTGACAAAATCTGTGCTGGCTCTCTCTATATCAAGACACTGTCTCAAATGGCTCTCTATTGTTTTGTTAAAACAATTTTAATCAGAATTAGTCTGCATATCATCTGATGTACACTCACAATGACTACATTTACAAAGAGCAAAACCTGCATAACCTACTTAAAACCTGCAAATTCATGTTGAGCCAATGTATCCCCACAAAGAGAAACCACTGCCCCTATACATAATAATTTCACCAACCACTGTTTGGATTTTAACATCATGGTACAAGATATCTAAATCTTTTTGGATTCTATTTAAAATGACATCCACACCATGCTGAGACAGCTGCAATGGCTAGAAATCTAATTGCTGACAGCTTTGACCTTCAGTTTACTTTGGATCTGTATTTCCTGAAGTGTAATATACCATTAACAGTTTGTTCTTAGTTGCATATGATCCAAGAGGATTACATATTTGAATTTCATCTGTGTACACAATCAACTGCAAAGCAGAATGTCTGATGGAGAAGAGTGGGTGGGATCTAAGTCTGCCATCAACAATGTCATACAAAAATCCCTCTTTACACCTCTTAGGTATGGAGCTGATCATTGTAAATATCGTGGTATCAGAAAATAGCTCCTCAATGATCTTGAATAATGGCACATAAAATATTCTAGTATTAATTGTAAGAGCTCTTGAGTTACCACTCTTAACCCTACATGCAGTACATGAATACCTCCTTAGGCTCAATTGGGTTAAAACATTTCTGAATACTACTGCTCTGTAGATGTGTAGATGAGACTTTCAAGAAGGGGTCTTTAAAATAATCAAATACTGCTAGGGATGCCATTTGTAGGTCCTCCTTACTTCCAGCACGAGTGTCAAAAACATTCTTGATCTGTTCCCTTAGGTAATCTAGAAGGTAGGCTTAGTACTGTTTCACATCTGCCACAACATTATTGACATTCCCCTGAAAGCAAAAGACAAGTGTATGTGTAAGAAAATGCATTATCCATCTACTTCTTGGGCAAAAGTTACATCTTTCAGTAAGGATTTTATAGTTGACCTTAAAAAGTGTATTTACATGGAGTATACAGTATATTAAAAGAGAATAAGAATTGTTTTGTGTAATACCCGATATAGGTAACATCTCTCACAGATATTAAGAGCAACTGAATGCTGGAGCATTCTGGGTCAGAATATCAACAGGAGCCTCTCCCTAGTGACATGAGTATGTCCAGTGCATCCTGCACTGATGGTGCCACCTGCTCATCATCCAGGGTAACGTTAACATAGCTGAAAAAGATCGGGATGTCGTCATTTTCTTTCCCAAGCCTA